AAAAATAAATTATCAATCATTATATTTTTATGCTGAATATATTAATATTTAAAATATTTGTAATTAATAAATATTTGATTTTGTTAATAAATTAATGAAGTATAAAGATTATAATTTTATATAATAATAATAAGATTTTAATTTTATTAAAAAAGACTTATGAATATATTATAAATTAAAGATACTTATAAAAATAATCATATAAGTAGAAGAATTTTAAATTCTTAAATATTATTATTATTGATAAAAGTGTCTTTAAAAATGATAAAAATATATATAATTAAATTAATTTATTAAATTAAAAATATTTTTTATCATTACTTTATATGCACACACTATTTTATATTATAATTATACACAAATTTTCTAGTCTTATATTTTATTAAATATTATATAAAACAATATTATTGTATGATTATTGCATGATAATGATAAATATAAATATGTCATCATGCTGTTTTAGAAAGCACAATTTTTAAGCATTTTTTGATTTTTTGTATTATTTCTAATGAGTCGAACAGAAACTGCTTTGGGGATAAAATTGGTTTATTTCTTCTTCTAACACGTATTATTATTCGGGTATTATTCGTATTATAAATTAATAATAAAACACAATCAGTAGAATTACTAAATTAGAAAAAGAAATCAATACATATATATATATATATATGTATTTAGAATAACAATAACAATAAATATTACATAATTTCTGTTTTTATACAAAAATATATAATATATAAAAAATGTAAAATACATAAAATATTAAAGTAAGAAATTGAAAATGAACAGTAAGTTATAAGAAAATATACATGTATATTAATATTGCATGCACACATCTTGTAGATGCGTTGCATGTATCTTATAGTGAAATTTTGTTACTATTTTATCATTAAAATTTGTTTAGCTATTATGAAAATTCATGTCATGTTATGTTATATTATTACAATTAAATATCATGTAGATAATAAAAAATTCATCTTTTTATTTTTAATTACACATACATATTATATACATATATATTTGTAAACGTTAATTCACATTGATTATATCACATTGTATTATTTTATATAAGTTAATACACTATCAAATTTTAAGTCTGATTTGTATTATCTATTCTTATTTTGTACATAAGATTACTATTTAGTATGTACATTGATTATTTCCTTAATTAAAACTTGTATGCAATTCACTTTTGAGCCTTATTTACAAATTTTCCCTGCTTGCCCTCCTAATTGCAACCCTGTATTTGCTATTGCTAACTTTATATGGTTTGGTTGTTCACCTGTTATTTTTTCAAGTTGTGCAATGTATTTTAACAAAAGAGGACAGCATCCATATAGTTTCCATAGTAGAAATTTATAATTCTTTCAATTATTGCTCATTTTAATTTTTATTAATTATTATTTCTTATGATTTTTATTTCTTGTTCAAATAAAAATCATAATTTTTCTTAATAATCTCTTTTATTACATTTTATCGTCGAAATGTATTAATTTATAATGATTTTAATTGTAGTTAAAACATTGAAAAATATTGGTATTATTAAATTATTTAAATCGATTTCTTTAGAATATCTATTACTTTTCTGGCATTTTATTTATTCTTTCGCTTTATACTGGTGATTTGGTATAATTTTGTTCCCTTTTTTCCTTTTTCTTCATTTTATCTTAAACGCAACGATCGTCTATACGTACTCTTCTAATGAAGGATTTCTTATACGGATAGCTCGAACGTTAAATCGGTTCTCCTATGTATTCATTCCTCAGGCTGTAGACAAACGTGGGGTTGTACCTGCTCCTGTAAATGCTGGAGGCACGGTAAAACTTATACCATCGACACAAACTGCAGGAAAGCTTGGTTTTCATGTCGGCTCTGGTTCGACGATTCAAACATCTGGTATGCTGCCCTCGAAAAAGCCACCAGTATCTCGCGGCGTTCCTCCTCCAGTGCCACCGAATAAACCGGTAGTACCACCTAAAAAGGAGGCTGCTTATATTAGAAGGACTGAATCGCAGGCAACACAGGACGCCGTAAAACTTGGTAAACAAGCTGCGGCGCATCCTACTAGTGGATCTCCTGCTCCGCAAGTCCAACAGGCAATAGGAGCTTTTACTCAATCCTCCGATGAAGAGGTTAGTAATAAAGCTCCTCTGCCTTATTCATTTTATTAATGCGGAAGGATAATTCAACTTTATTACAAGTGCCAAAATATTTTAAGTGTTTCTGTATTCTTTTTCCTTGTTGAATTCTCTTCTTTTTGTCAATGAATTTTTATCGAGTTTTCAAAAAAGTTATATGCATAAATTATTAGAATTTATAAATGAATGTTCTGTTATGTGTATTTTTACTTAGAAAGAGCAATTTTATAGATAATTAAAATTGAATGTTTTTATAATTTACTATAAATATAAATTAAAGATTAAAAGATTAATTTTTTAGTTTTTTTTTCATTTATTTTTTATTTTTCATTTAACTATATTTTTATATTATTTTGAAGATATTAATTCAGAATTTTGTAAGATTTTATTGGAATATCATTTTGTATTCTTAAGATTTTACATTATTAAATATTATGTAAAAGAGAATAAATTATATAAAATAAAATTAAAGGATATTTACTTAAAAGATAAAAAAAAAATAATTTTAATAATTCTATAAAATAATTTTTTATTTTTTTATGTAACGTTAAATAACTTTTATGTAAGTTAATTTGTTTTTAATCTAAAAATTACGAAAAATATAGTAACAAGAATACTTTTTAAAGATGGTGTTCGATTAACTTCTTTGAATACTCGATGAATCGATGTTGTTCTTCTATTTGATCTCTCTTACAAGTGAGTACAATTCAGAACTCATGAATATGATTTCAGACAAAACCACGTTGATTTAACGGCGGGTACAAAAAAGAGTAAGCATTAGTAACATTTAAGAAAGTCTGAAAGCCGTGTTAACACGGATAAAACTTGGGGTATCGTGTTTTGGAACTACGCAACGCGGGATAACCCATTAAAACAACGTTTCTGAATCAACGAAAGAAACGTATGTGCTCGAACTACTTGTTCATCGATTGATTATACGTCGCGTACCATTACCTATTATTATTAATTCTCGTCGAATGAATCTATGGATCCATAGCGATACATCACCATCAACACGAATCTTGCTTGTAACATTGTACTATAGTCGAAATGAATCGAAACGGAATTATTTGAACTATTTAAGCTAGATTCTGTAGATTCTGTAGTTTATTATCCGCGATCTTTCCGAATTAACATTAAAAGTCATTAGATAAAATTAGTATCGTTGTAACGTGCTATTCGTAAGAAGGAACGATACTGTTAACAGTGGACGTGAATAATAAATGTTTATGCAACAGGGAACTTTAGACCATGTAATATGTTAATAAAACAAATACTTTTAGGTAGGGAAAGATATGGAAGGGTCATTTAACGTTAGATCATCCAATTGCAAAATTATTATCTATGATTTTTCCTTTGTCCTCTGTAATTTGATTGATTGATTGATTTTGATGATTTTTTTTATAATCATATATCGAAAATAAATATAATAATTTTAATATATTATACAAATAAAAGTATTTTAATGAGCTTTCTTTATAAAGTTTATTCTATTTTTCATAATTCGCTGATAGATTTTGATTCGAACATTTGATTTCATTTAAACAATTGATCGATTTAACGCGAGATGACCCAACAGTATATATGCTATAATCACTGCCTTGCCTGACGTAATTGCATTGCTAATATACCGACATTATGTCGGCGATAAAAAATGATTTTGAACAAGTAGCGAAAGGAACAACTTAATATTTTGCATCGTAAAAACTCGTCGATTTTGTTTATTGAAGCAACTCGTTCAAAAAATTACAAATGAGAATCATCTAATCGTTGTTCTTTTAACAATATCTATAAGCAAAATAATATTATTCAAAATTTACGCGATCATCATATCCATTTGGAAGTCTTTTACAGATATCATGACTGTTCATAATCAGAAATCAAAGACATAACATAAAAGCCAATTTATTTTCTATATTATTTCTATAAACATAATCATTAATTTGAGAAAAAATTTTTCAATGATACAGGCTAGTCGTGCAATCATGTTGAATAATAGTAATAATCAACGATTTTTATCGATCTACAGTGTTTCGTAAGATGCCGTTGTGTCAGGTCAGAACGAGTAATAATTTTTTAATCAAAAGTAAGGTAAAAATGTTCTTAATAGGAGACTCATATTACTTAATAAGAGACTCATCTATATATTTATTAAACGCGCAAACATGCCAAGTACTTACATGTACGATCGTTTGAGAAATTTTCCTAAGTGATCGTAGAAAAATATTAAGAATAATTTTCGGCTTTGAAAATTCTTTACCCGACGTGTACGGTACATCTTACGAAATCTCTGTACAAATTTCGTTCCCACAATGCAGAGTTTATAACAAGGACATGAATAAAATTATTCGTTTGTACACAGTTTCTCTTGTATAAATTATAAAATGGATGGAATTATGTTCTCATAAATGTATGAAATAAGTATGTACATACACACAGGTACACACATACAATCTTTTATTTATACTCATTCACTTAATCACACACGTATACATACACGCGCGCGCAGATAAAGAAAAGACG